TGACAGGATATTACATACTAGGATACTATAACCTAAAACGGACAGTTGTGACTGCCTTAACAGAAATCAATCATTAGCAGTGTATAATATTGTAAGTTATGTTATTTTGCTGTCCTACTGCACAAGCCAGTCAATTTAGAAGTTCAACAGACTTTAATTTTGGTCAACTTTAATATGTTTTCACTCACTTGGCAGGACGGTCAAGACGCAGGTCAATACCAAACACCACAGCATCCTCTCCAGCGGACAGAAAGGAGCAGGGGGAATCTGGCTCGAGGGCCAGCTGGAACAAAAATAGGTAGAAGAAACACACACAGACCGTACTTTATCATCAGGCAGCTGGAGTCTTATTTACCACAGCTCCAATTCATAGCACAAACACCTTATCATTTCTATTCACACATGCAGTACAAACACTCGCCTTGTGTGCTGCCCCTTTGTGCTGTGCTACCCGCTTGGTGTTCTTGCACCGCTGTGTGGCAGAGAGCTCAGCAACTCTGATTTGACCATCTCGGGCACACATGGCCAAGGTGGAGTCTCCGCTGTGAGGCAGGAACTTTGCCTATGTGCATGACAGGCAGGGAGAAGAATCAATTTAATGCTCCGACGTCATTTCAATCTGCGTCTACTCATTTTTTGAGTTTTTTATTCTTTGCTCCCAAAGGTAAAAATCTTTGTTGTCCCTTACCTGAAATACATTGCTCTTGTGGCCACTGTCAAACTCCAGCTCAGCACGACGGATAGCCCAGTCCCAGATCACCACTCGCAGGTCATCGCTGCCTGAAGCCAGGCGTGTGCCCGAGGGGTTGAAGTGCAATGTGTTGACGCAGCCTGTGTGCCTCTCCAGTCGACCCTGGAGCTCCAGCCTCTGCACGAGACCACGGGCTCCACACACGCGCCTCACAAACTGGTGTGAGTCCCTGCCAATCTCCCTGGAGCGCAGCGAGGGTATCGCCCGCCATATAGGACCACGCAGATCACGGAGCTCTGCTCCCAGCCATGCCTCCATAGCCTCGTCATCGTCTTCATCATCTTTCTGTTCTTCTTCGTCCTCATCGTCATCTTCATCTGAGCTGGTGGAGTGATTGGAGCCGCCGCCAGGTCTATTCCTCTTTCTCGCTGCCCTTTTCCCACCGTCTTTATCCTTTGCTCTCTCCCGTCTTCCTCCCTCACTCTCTCTTTCACCATCCTCAGTCAGGGAGTAGAGACCACTGCCATCCATGCTGTCAGTGTCCTCTTCCTCCTCTCCCTCTCTGTTTGCACCTGTCTCTACTTCTACATCTGGCATGGGCTTGTCTCCAGATGCCTCTCCTGTTTCTTTGGGAGCTACAGAAATAGGGAAAGCCAGAGCCATGGAGGATAGGGTTAAGACATCACTGTCTCACTGGGAGATTCAACAAAAGGTGTGCAAGTGCTGCAAAAAACCCACTGTAAAACTATATCAATGTTAAATCCCATCAGGATGGAAAAATTTAAAGAAACTTAAACTCCAGCAATGTCAGGAACAGCATAATCAAGTATCACAGCAATAAAGATATGTGAATTTAAATATGAACAAAATTAAAAATATATTTAAGCAGATTTTCCACAATACCAAACAATGTTAGCAGCATGCACCTTTTAGGGAGTTGTTAAAACTACAAAATGGTGTTACCATCATCAGAAGATGACTGTGTCTGTCCCTCTTTGCTTCCAGACGCATCTGCCTCTTTGTGTTGATCCTCTCCTGGTTCTTTTTCCTCAGAGCCACCTAGCACAAGCAAACATGTCCTCTGATTATCTGTCAACGCTAAAGAGCATGACAGCTGGCACAGTTATGGTCAGTATAAATAGGTAGTTATTTTCTTGCAGTGATCCTTTACCGTTAAGCACAGTGGATTTGCCGTCAGCCTCAGCCATCCTGTCTCCTTTGTCCTGCGTCGACCCGAGGGAGAACCTTGGAACAAACACAGCATTTAGGTTGTTAATGTTACAAGATAACAATGGATCAAATTAAGACAGCAGATAACTTGTATGCATAAGTAAGCAGACATCATTGTTTGCACTCGCTAAAGTGTTGTCAACTCCCGACGCCACACTGTGTGCCGTGGGGCACAAGTTACCTGTTAGCTCTGCAGCTTCCAAACTACTAGCCAGGCTAATTTTACCACCTCTCTCCTGCTGCCTGTGACCACACAAACAAACCAACTTGCCTGGTAGCTGGCTCACAGGCCTGACTAATACCCTATTTTGCTTTGTGATGCTTTACAGTGCATTGTCCTCTGCAGTGCTCGACTACTTGACAGTGTTACAGCCGTGAGCTAATGCTAACTTGCCTGCGTGCGGCTACCGAATATCGAAACTAAATACCGCTGTCAGTCCAGCTGAACAACCAAACAGCTGGTTGTCAAAAAGCGAGCAGGCAGCTAGCGTTGCTTGTAGTGGCTAACTAGCATAGCTTGCGTTAACGTTACCTCTACTCGAAGGCCCGACGAGGCGTACTTCTTAGTTTAGTCCTAATCTTTATTGCAGATTTATTCTCTCCACCTCACTACTTAGCAGTTGAGCTAAGTGCCTTGACTAGGAATTCTCTGACCGTAAATACACGACATTAGGAATGCGTGCATAAAGCTTTTGGTAAAAGATAGACTGTAAAGAAAGCTAACTGCGTTCACACAAGGTTGACTGCTCTGTTTATGTTTTGACGGTTCAGCTTCTTTTTTTTTTCTTTTTTTTTAGTTCCATTTCCGGTGTCGTGCTTGCTTCGTTTTTTTCTTCACCGGAAGTTCAGAGAGGAGATATTATTATACATCTATGGAGGAGAAACGTAGTATAATAATGATTATAATGACAGTAATAATGACAATAAGACTATTAAAAATATATTATTTATATTATGAAATTGT